TTTTTGTATTTTTAGTAGAGACAGAGTTTTGACACATTGGCCAGGCTGGCCTCTAACTCCTGACTTCAGGTGATCCATCTTGGCCTCCCAAAGTGCTGGGATTATAAGGGTGAGCCACTGCACCCAGCCTCCACATTACTTTTGTACCAATCTTTCAGTGAGGGAGCCCTGGAAATAGTATCAGATCAAAGGATAAAGTACAACACATACTACACATTTAGCATAATTTGCTTGAGGCTATTTGTAGCCTAAATTTATTATATGAATTCTTTATTACATGATTTTTTTTTTTTTTTTGAGACAGGGTCTCAGGCTGGAATGCAGTGGCATGATCCTAGTTCACTGCAGCCTCAACCTCCTGGGCTTAAGCGATCCTTCAGCCTCAGCCTTCCAAGTAGCTGGGATGACAGGTGCACACCACCATGCCTGGCTAATTTTTAAAATCTTCCGTAGAGACAGGGGTCTCCCAAACTCCTGACCTCAAATAATCCTCCCCATCAGCCTCCCAAAGTGCTGGGATTATAGGTGTTGAGCTGCTGCCTCTGGCCCCTATTTCTGCTTTTCTTTTTCTCTTGGTTCTTGTTTGCCTCCAGCTGTTGTGCTTTCTCCCTAAGTCAAGTTCAAGTTATTGCTGAGTGAGGCCAAGGCAGCCTCTTAGGCATGGCATTTGTGCTTGGCCACTCTCTTTGTCACCAGCCAGGCTCTAGATTGGTTGTTCGTTTGGAGGACTGGACCCAGGTCCCAGCCAGTGATGCCGGGTGGCAGAGCATGGCAGGGTGGCAGGGCTGGGGTACATGCATTCTGAGGACTTGCCTGTAAAAGTGGCAATACTCGTTTGGGGCTATCTTCTTTTAACAAAGCAGTAGATTGCGTTTTCTTATTAAATGGGGCTATTCTACATTTGAAAAGATGAGCTTTTACTTCAAGCATTTCCCCTTAATCATCTGTACCATTAAACTAATTGAAGGAAAAAATGGATAATTTACCAATCATGAATTTTGTTGACAAATTTCCAATAAAGCAGAATCAAGTGAGATTTTAATACGAAGATAAAAGACTCTACCAGAAGTATTCTTTAGTGGCTTGACCTTTGTCCCTAGCTACATACATATATTTATATAATGAATCTCCCTGACAGTAGAAAATGTATAATTTCTAATATTGGAATAAAATGAGTCACATCTGAATAACTGAGAAGAATATCATATCACTTTGATTATTTTAAAAGTGAAAGGAAAAATATCTAAAAATCGGTGAGCGATGATACTTCTAGACACTTGGTTATGTAGTTCTTGATGAACTTCTCGTTGGCAGGATTCTTAAAATAAAAGTGATTTCCTGGAAGCTTGTGGAAGCTTACACTTCCAGTGCTTACATTTTTCCAGCCTGAAAATAAACAAGATTATATTCAATAACAACACCAACTGCAACTAAAGATTCACTTTAAGACATTATTTCTTTAAGAGCTGACACCCTGGGGTACAGTTACTTTCAAGGACTATGTTCTAGGTGACAGAACAGGGCATTGCCCTATTAGACAAGCCCCTCATTCTAAAATTCACCTTAGCCAGGTGCAGTGGCTCACGCCTGTAATCCCAGCACTTTGGGAGGCCAAGGTAGGTGGATAACAAGGTCAAGAGTTCAAGACCAGCCTGGCCAAGATGGTGAAACCCTGTCTCTACTATACAAAAAATTAGCTGGGTATGGTGGCATGTGCCTGTAATCCCAGCCATTCAGGAGGCTTAAACCTGGGAGGCAGAGATTGCAGTGAGCTGAGTTCTCACCATTGCACTCCAGCCTGGGCCACATAGCCAGACTCCATCTCAAATAAATGAAAAAAATTCTTCTTAATAAAAAACCACCTAAATCCAAAGGGCATCAGCCTAATGGCTAAGGGTAGCATGGCCATAAACCAGAAATAACATCTCCAACCAGAGACATTCCAAACTCCTGGTTGGGAAGATGCTAACCTTGAGCTAACCCCACTCCAGCTGGAAAGATGTCTGCCCCAAGATAACCCCCCCTTCTCCCATTCCAACCCTGCCAGGAAACTTCTCCCTCACACAGAAACATTCCAAGCTTATGTTAAGCCCCCTCACCCTAAAACCAATATCTACTCTTAAGTCTGTAAGAGAAAGTGCTCCTGACTGAAATCGGCCATGAGGCCCTCTCAGGATTTATCTAAGAAAACCTGTCTTTGACTGTTAAGCCATGTTTCATGTTTCTTTCTTCTTTCTTCAACTCTTACACTAGGTGTCCTGCATTTTTAATTTCTTTGAGACCTATCAGTATACAGCAATTCTCATTTTACATAAAACCAACATCTCTCCCTTTACACTAAATACAACTTCAACTACTTTCTTACTCATTGCAGTAACTGCTAGTGGACACTGGTCAGAAACCGTCAAACATAAGTCTATACACCTACTACGTACCCAAAAAATTAAAGATTAAAAAAAAATTTTAAGCCATCGAACATATATTTCAATGCAATACCAGAGACTAAAAATAATTTCACCTTCAGTGTCCTTTACTAGGTCGATGTCTTCAGATCCAAAAAAACATGTTAAGTCACAAGAAAGAATAGTCTTAGATGGACTCTCAGAGCTGTAAACATAAAAGAGCTAGTTAATAATTGTTCAAAATCGACATCCCAGAATCTTTTCCTGTTCCTAACATCATGTCAATGAAACTGGGGTGGGCTCACTTCTTTTCCTTTGGCTACTTCTAACGGTGTAAACGTTTTTCACCAGTGACACTTCTACCTGTCAAAGCCTGCCTGAGACTCAGTGTGGAGACTAATTTCCAGTATCTAACTTCTAGGATGTGACAAGTGGCAGCAGGATGGCACTGGGGCACCCAGTTCAACTCAAGGTGAGGCTGGTGCAACCAGTCCTTTAAACTGTCATTCATCAGAAATGAAGACCTCTTTGGTAATTCTCAGCTCTCCCTGGCCCAGCAAAGGGCTGCTATGCACAGAAACTCACAACAGCAGCAAACGTGATACTGAGTCAGAGGTTTGGTACTGCAGTAGACACTAGGGGCACACGGAGAAACAAACACACTCCTTGCCCTGCTGCAGCTGAGAGACTCACTGGGAGACAGACATTATGAAAACAGACAACTAGAGAGAGATGGAAGTGCCGCCAAGCCCAGGGGGATGGAGAACACTTGGCAGGAGGGTGGAGGTGGGGACAGGGTCAAGGCAGGTCTCCTGGGGAAGAGGAGAGGATCTGAAACCTGAATGAATAGAGAAAAACTGGTCAAAGGGCAGAGAGCCAGCAGGGCGAGAGGGAAGAGAAAGATGATAAATTAATGGCTAGGTCAGGTGTGGTGGCTCATACCATAATCCCAGCAGTCTGGGAGGCCAAGGTGGGAGGACCACTTAAGGCCAGGAGTTTGAGACCAGCCTGGGCAACATAGCAAGATCTCATTTCTACTAAATAAAAAAATTAGCCATGTGTGGTGTCATGTACCTGTAGTTCCAGCTACTTGAGAGGCTGAGGTGAGAGGATCACTTGAGCCCAGGAGGTCAAGGCTGCAGTGAGCTGTGATTGCACCATTGCACTCCAGCCTGGGCAACAGAGTAAGATCCTGTCTCAAAAATCAAAACAAAACAAAACAAAAGGGTATTGTTCAGAGAACAAAGTAGAGTCTTGGGACAAATTAAGGTATAAGAGGTTATGCAAGACCCAAGTCTAGGCCACATAAAGGAATTTGGTTATCCCAAGAGTGAGAGGAAGTCACCAAAAAGACCTAAGACACGGTAGGCCATGATCAAACTCAACTCTTACCCTCTGGATAGAGTGTGGGGAATGGATCAGAGTGGGACCAAGTGTATGTGACCAGCCCAAGTGAATGGCCCTTGCAATAGTCCAGGCAAGGATTTGCTCCTGCCCAGAGTATAGAAAACCAGCAACATCCCTTGCCCCATCCTAACAATGAGAAAAAAAAAAAAAAAGAGACAAAAAGCAAACAGAGAAACTACAGCATCATGACTTGTCTTGAACCCAACAGTGAGCTGTGTTTGCAAAGCAAGCTAGAAGTCAAATTCTAAGGAGGGCAGACTCCCGCTACAGAAAGGTGGGGCCCGTAGGCAGGGTCGGGTGGAGCAAAGTCCAGGCAGAAGTCCATGTCCTGCTTACTGCAGTACATGTGGTAAGACTCAAATCAGCCAAAATTTTAGTGTTGTAGACAAATGGTGTGTTAGGTGGAGTTTACACTGACTTGCAGCTTCTTTTGACTTTTTTTGTTTGTTTGAGATGGAGTCTCACTCTGTTGCTCAGGTTTGAGTGCAATGGCGTGATCTCAGCTCATTGCAACCTCTTTCTCCTGGGTTCAAGTGATTCTCACACCTCAGCCTCCCAAGTAGCTGGGATTACAGGCATCCACCACCAAATCAGCTAATTTTGTATTTTTAGTAGAGACGGGGTTTCACCATGTTGGCTAGGCTGGTCTCAAACTCCTGACCTCAAGTGATCCACCTGCCTTGGCCTCTCAAAGTGCTGGGATTACAGGCATGGGCCACCATGCCTGGCCACACAGCCTCCTTTCCATGGGCCTTCACTAGGGGTTGATGAGAAAGATTCGGAGTAAGATAAGAGGCTAGAGAGACACCTCCACGGGGCAGTTAGTTAGCTGTGGCAACTGGAGTGGCACTAGATTGCAACCTGACCAAGTCTGCTCTCACTGTAAGCAGGAGCCTTAAGTTGCTGGAGAAGGGACATGAAACCCTCTCACTCCCAGGGTGCAGGTGAGTCCCTGTGGCTGCTGAGGGGAGGATAAAAGCATAAGCTTTTCAACCTCTGGGGAAGGGATGGGAAACAATTCTACAGCAAAACCAAGCAGAGCTCTCCTGCTTATGGGAAGGGGCAGGAATCTTCTGCAAAGGCAACCACAGATACAAGGCAAAAATGTGTTTGCAAGAGAGAAGGAGCAGGCATGCTGTGAAAGCCCCATTCACAGAGCCCAGGCTCAGGGGCTACCTAGAATTTATGCTTCAGACTATTTAGGATGTCCAAGAACTCCCTGTGTTACCCACAGCTGTGTAACAAGCCACAGCTGTCTACACTGGGGAGGGCAACAGGAGGGAGAGAGGCTGTTCTGTGAGTCACAGGGAACATTAAACGTGAGGGGTGGATCAGGACCACTGAGAAAAATTCTGCAACTGGATCCCACACCAGACACAGAGTAATTACACCAGAGGACTTGAGAGCTGGTGGTGCATTGGAGGTGATCACAGCAACAAGCCCAGACTAGACTGATTCACCTCCCCACACTAACGACCTGGCAAAAGGAGAGACGTGCTCAAATTCAGGTGTAAAACATTACCTTTAGTCTCTACTGTTTTATGCATGATAACTGGCTTTTGATTGAAAAAAATTATCAGACACAGGAAAGCAAGAAATAACCATTGTTAAGAGGCAAAGCAGTCAAAAGAATCAGAGGCACATAAGGTCCAGATGCTGGAACTCTCAGACAGGGACTTTAAAATATGTAGGATTCATTTGTCAACAGATTTAGTGGAAAAGGTGGGTAACATTCATGAACACCTGGGGAATTTCATTAAAAGGTGAAGACTGGAGAGAGTCAAATGGAATTTCTAGAAATAAGAACAGAAATGAGGAAGTCTTTTGACAGGCTGATCAGTAGACTTGATGCAGCTGAGGAAAGAAAGTCAGTGACCTTGAAGATGGTCAGAAGAAATTATTTACACTGAAACACAAAGGAAACATTTTTTAAAAAAGAGACAAAACGGAACTTCCAAGACATTTGGAACAATATCAATTATGAAACAGCCTAATATACATGGCATCAGGATCCCAGAGGAGGAACAATAACACAAAAGTCCCAAGCAAGAGAGGAGGACAGCTTAGATGAGTTGAAGTAGTCACAGCTTCTGGCACTTCTCAGCTGACTATTTCCATTTTGACTACCAGCTCTGAGCTTTGGTGGTAGTGATGAAGAAGGAGCGGACTGGGAAAAACTCTGTAGGCCTGATTTCATTTATATTGGAGAAAGCTGGGAGATAACGAGGAAAGGAGAGAGATCAGATTGAACAGGAGAAGGAGCAGGAGGGCAGGATTTCGGAGAGTTTTTGAACTCTGGAGAGAGGAAGTTAAAAGTTGTGAGTAACTACTGCAATTTGATCCACTGGAGAAAGGGTGAGAAGGTTACTGTTTTCTACATTCTATGAGTGGAATATTCCCATGAGTGATGTATGTTAATGCTTTATTTTTAGTGTTTGGGAGGTTTCTTTGGAGTGAAAAAACTCATCGGTTGTGAGTTTTTTGGTTGCGTTTTCTTTTTAAAAATAGCTTGTAGTTTGTTGTGTGCCAGACCCTCCCCTCTACCAAGCAGTTAATTCTCATGCAACACCTTGAAGAGTTGTTATTATCCCTTTGACAGACGAGACACAAACTGTTAAAGAAACTTGCTTAGAATCTCACAGTGAGTAAAACACAGAGGCTTTCAATCTGCTAAATGGGCTCTAAAGATGGCATGTTTTATCATTGTGCAAGGCTTAATTTTTTTTTTTCTTTTTTTGAGATGGAGTCCCCCTCTGTCACCCAGGCTGGGGTACAGTAGCGTGAGCTCAGCTCACTGCAACCTCCGCCTCCCAGGTTCAAGCAGTTCTCTGCCTCAGCCTCCTGAGTAGCTTACAGGCACACGCCACCACGCCGGGCTAATTTTTGTATTGTAGTAGAGACAGGGTTTCACCATCTTGGCCCAGCTGGTCTTGAACTCCTGACCTCATGATCCACCCGCCTCAGCCTCCCAAAGTGCTGGGATTATAGGCATGAGCCACTGCGACCGTCAAGGCTTAATTATTAAAAGCCAGCTTTTGCATACATGATTGCATTGAATATCCATAGCGATTTGGATTACTTCTTAGTTTTTTCAAATTTTGTTTTAAATTCACCAATAATTGTTTATATTGGTGAGGTATACTGTGATATTTTGATATAAGTATACATTATGGAATGATTAAGTCAAGCAAATTAACATATCCATCACCTCATATACTTAACTTTTTAAAATGATGTGCACATTTAAAATCTACTGTCTTAGCAATTTTGAAATACACATGCGTAGTCACCATGCTGTGCAGTAGATCTCAAAAGCTTATTCCTGGCCAAGTACAGAGGTGCTCATGCCTGTTATCCCAGCACTTTGGGAGGCTGATGCAGGAGGATCACTTAAGCTCAGGCGTTTGAGATCACCCTGGGCAACATAGAGAAACCCCATCTCTACTTAAAAAAAAAAAAAAAGAGGCAGTTGTAGTGAGCTCCCATCATCCCACTGCACTCCAGCCTGGGCGATAGAGCAAAACCTTGACTCAAAAAAAAAAACCCCACAATTGCATGGGTTTACTTCAGAGCTATTTTCATTCCATTGGTTGATATGTCTGTTTTCGTGACATTACAATAATGTTTTGATTACCATAACTTTTTTCCCCTTTCCTTTTCTTTTTTCTTTTTTTTCTTTTTGAGAAAGAGTCTCGCTCTGTCTCCCAGGCTAGAGTGTAGTGGTGTGATCTCAGCTCACTGCAACCTCCGCTTCCACAGTTGAAGTGATTCTCATGCCTCAGCCTCCCAAGTAGCTGGGACCATGGCTAATTAGTTATTTTTTTGATCCTTTCTCTCCTCCCTCCCTCCACCTTCAAGTAGGCCTCAGTGTGTGTTGTTCCTGTCTTTGTGTCCATGTGTTCTCATCATTTAGCTCCCACTTTTAAGTGAGAACATACAGCATTTAGTTTTCTGTTCCTGTGTTAGTTTGCTAATGATAATGGCCTCCAGCTCCATTCACCTTCCTGCAAAGGGCATGACCTCATGCTTTGCTCTCATTAGTTTCAAAGAACGTCTTGATTTCTACCTTAATTTCATTATTTACCCAAAAGTCATTCCGGAGCAGGTTATTCAATTTCCATGCAATTGTATGGTTTTGAGCAATTTTCTTGGTCTCGAATTCTGTTTATTTGTGCTGTTATCTGAGAGAGTAGATGTTATGATTTGAGTTCTTTTGCATTTTCTAAGGAGTGTTTTCTATCTGATTATGCGGTCATTTTTATAGTATGTAATGTGGCAATGAGAAGAATGTATATTGTGTTGTTTTGGGGTAGAGAGTTCTGTAGATATCTATCAGGTTCATTTGATCCAGTGCTGATATTAGGTCCTGAATATCTTTGTTGATTTTTTTGCCTTGATGATCTATGGGGTGTTGAAATCTCCCAATATGATTGTGTGGGAGTCTAAGTCTCTTTGAGGGTCTCAAAGGACTTGCTTTATGAATCTGGGTGCTCCTGTGCTGGGGGCATAGATATTTAGAATAGTTCGGTCTTCTTGTCTAATTGAACCCTTTACCATTATATAATGCACTTCCTTGTCTTTCTTTTATCTTTGTTGGTTTAACATCTGTGTTGTCTGAAATTAGGATTGCATCCCCTCCTTCCTTGTGTTCTAATTTGCTTGGTAGATTTTTTTCCATCCTTTTCTTTTGAGCCTATGGGTGTCACTGCATGTGAGATGAGCATAGCTTTAAAAAGTATCAGGTTTCTGGTTTTGTTTTTCTTTTAATGTCAAACTGGTATTTCTTTGATCCTCGCTCTACAATAAGCCAGAAACACAAGACAGCTTTAGTCTTAGGAGAATCACATTTGAGCTAAGATGGTTGGGATAGAAATGGACACATATGCCTAGACTTGGGATATTGAAGGTAAATCGTGTAGCTTGTGATAGATTGGACGTGGACAGTGAATGGAAGAACGTGTCAAAGATGAATGGATTGTCTCCATTCTCAAGGTGCTGCGAGTCTCTTAACCTTTTTGTAGCTATTTGTGTAAGCTTCTAGCAGCAAGCACTGCCTATTGTGCTGAATGCCCAGTTCCAGACCTCGTGGAGGAAATAAAAGAAACATAGGCCCAAGCCTGCAAGGAGCTTACACCAAGGGGAAAGCCCCAAGCAAAACAGAAAAAACAAAGGACAGTATGCAACAGTGACTAAGGGCCAAATCATGGTGCCACAATGACTATGGGGAAGTTAGACTAGGAAGAGCCATTTGTAGGCTTAGATTATTAGGGAATGTGGTGACTCATGCCTGTAATCCCAGCACTTTGGGAGGCACATGTGGGCAGATCACCTGAGTTGGGAGTTTGAGACCAGCCTGGCCAACATGGTGAAACCCCATCTCTACTGAAAATTTAAAAAATTATCTGGGCATGGTGGCACACATCTGTAACCCCAGCAACTGGGAGGCTGAGGCACGAGAATCACTTGAACCTGGGAGATGGAAGTTGCAATGAGCTGAGATCTCACCACTGCACTCCATCCTAGGCAACAAAGCAAGACTCCATCTCAAAAAAAATAAAAAATAAAAAAAAAATAAAGGATTTACAGAGTATCAGGACTTTAGTTCTGTCAGAAGAATCAAGTGTCAATACAGACATCCCATTAGACAAGGGAATGGAGAGATGTCATAGAACTTAATGAGTTCTGGAACCAAATTTACAAAAAAGTAAACCTAGCAAATTTCTCCCCCCTTTTTTGTACCCACATTTATAAGTAACAATCTATTTCTGCTGACCCTTCTAAGAAGATGAATATGCGTTAGCCTTAATTTATTCAACAAATATTTACTATGTTATATAATAAAATATGCATGTCTAATCACATATTTTTAAAAGAAAAATATATGCTAGACATTTTTTTTTGAGATGGAGTCTCACTCTGTTGCCCAGGCTGGAGGGCAGTCGTGTGATCTTGGCTCACTGAAGTCTCCACCTCCTCCGTTCCAGTGATTCTCCTTCCTCAGCCTCCCAAGTAGCTGGGATTACAGGCGTGCACCACCACACCTGGCTAATTTTTGTGTTTTTGGTAGAGATGGGGTTTTGCCATGTTGGCCAGCCTTGTCTTGAACTCCTGGCCTTAATTGATTCACCAGCCTTGGTCTGCCAAAGTGCTGGAATTACAGGCATGAGTCGCTGTGCCTGGCCTTGCTAGACATCTTGTATAGTCACAATTTCTATGCCTAGGCTCCATTCTAAACCAGTATACATACTGTAGGTGGCCCCAAAGGAAATTAAACCAAACTCTTATAATTTTGTCTTCCCATCCAAGCAGGCTCAGAACACTATCAATCTATGTTTTCTCTGCAAATAATTATACCAAAAAAAAAAAGAAAGAAAACTTGTCTCTGTTACTTACATGCATTTACTAATAATGTTCGCATCTACCATCATAGTGGGCATACATTGTTGCACAAGTTCCTTGTCTTCAACAAAATTCATGGGGGTGCCTCCAAGATCCACAAGGTAACGACAAATTTGTTCTTCTGACAGTCCACCATCTTTGGGAATTTCAATGTGGACCTTTGACTTGAAACATGAAAAATACAGGCCTGATATTTCATATCAACTGAAAACTGTTGTTCTAAGGGAAAAGTCATTAAACCAAGGCTGGGAAGTGGACTGCTTTATCTACAGGCTTCAGGGAAGGACTATCTCATTTTGAAAGCAGGAAGGCTCATTAGTGATAACTGCAGCATCATAATGCCACCAAAATGGCTTTGTAGATTTAGAACCCTGGGACAGGCAGGATCTTTCTCCAGAGGAAGTGGGGAAGACCAAAGAGGTAGGAGGAAGAGCAGCAGGAACAAGCAGCACCAGGTTTAAAAAGCCATCGTAGTTCTAAAAATGTGATATCACTATCCCCTTTTTAAATTCCAAGGAGTCTTTCCTGGTTCTGATCCAGTTACTTTGCTCAAAGTTGGTTAAGTTCCCAGCTGATCCAGAATGAAGGAAAAATCACTATAGTCAGCATTAGCTCAGAGATGCCAGGAATAGTGCCAGCAGGGAACAGTTGAAGCACATTTCAGGGAAACACAGAAATAATGATATTGAAAGAGATTTAAGGGACTTTTCAACAGCAAGTATTAGGTTGGTGCAAAACAATTGTGGTTTCTGCCATTGAAAGTAATGGCAGACCAGGCATGGTGGCTTATGCCTGTAATCCCAACAGTTTGGGAGCCCAAGGCAGGTGGATCCCCTGAGGTCAGGAGTTCAAGACCAACCTGGCCAACATGGTGAAACCCCATCTCTACTAAAAATACAAAATTAGGTATGGTGGCACACACCTGTTGTCCCAGTTACTCAGGAGGCTGAGACAGGAGAATCACTTGAACCCAGGAAGTCGAGGTTGCAGTGAGCCAAGATTGTGCCACTGCACTTGAGCCTGGACAACAGAGTGAGACTCCATCTCAAAAAAGAAAAAAAAAAGTAAGTAATGGCAAAACCTCAACTGCTTTTCCACCAACCTAATAGTATCCCCACCATCATCACCATACTGGACCAAAATTCATCAGCTAGGGAAATAATTTTTATCCCCATTTCCCTGCTCTCCACTACCCTTCCTAGGAATAAGCTAAAAAGTGTCAGCATAAAAAGTGTTTCAAAGACAGCCTAGATAATTCACTCTAAGATTACTTACATGTGGAGAAAAGGCACTTGACAAAAATAAATGCAATGGTTCTAGATTATGCTTTTCTTTTAGGTGTAGTGCAGTCTTAAAAGCCATGTAGCCTCCCATGCTAAATTCAGGAAAGAAAAACATGACAAGAACTATTAAGCAAAACTCATGATGATCCTCTGAGTCAATAGAAACAGTATCATAAACACAACCATGGTCATGGAATAGTCGAAATAAAAGTGTGAGTTGATTAATAAGTCCATGTTTTCAATGATCTATGTCAGCATAAAAAGTGTTTCAAAGACAGCCTAGATAATTCACTCTAAGATT